TCTCTCTCTCTCTCTCTCTCTCTCTCTCTCTCTCTCTCTCTCTCTTGTGCTCTCAGCTGTGTATGTGTGAACCCAGATACAAGCCCTTCGATTTCCTGCTGTGTCCAGCTGCCACACTTTCCATCTGCTTCTGTTTTCCATTGATTCAAAAAGTGAACTGCAAGAAGAAGCAGAGCAGCACCTTAAGAAATTGGCCAACAGTTCAGCAGAATGCAAGCTCGGGCATTAGCTAAGGGTACAAGCAATGGATTCTGAAGAATCTGAACTTCTAAGCTTTCCTGGATTTCTATTTTTCAAAAATGACGGACAGCCATTACAACTGGAATGATACAGAGATGATTAGTGTAGCCCCTGCACAAAGATCACACACACAAATGCAGAAATGGTCCAAATTGAAGAAAAAAAAAAAAAAAAAAAAAAAAAGAAAGAAGAAGAAGCCAAAGTAGGCTGCTTTTTTTTTACGGGGCCTGTGAAAAGATGGTGCAGGGCCCATCACCCGGGCCCATGATCCCATTCTTTGCAGACCTGGGCCCGTTCTGTGAGGACCTGGCCCACATTATGTGCGGACCTGGGCCCATGGGCCCTTTCTATGGAGACCGCCACAACTGAGCCCATGGCCCCATTTTGTGAGGACCTGAGCCCACGAGCCCTTCTGTGGGGACCACCACACCTAGCCCCATGGGCCCATTCTCTGGGCACCTGGGGCCATGGACCCGTTCTGTGGGCAAATCCTCCCAGGAGCCCATTCTGTGGGGACCACCACAGTGCACCACAGTGACCACACCCACAGATTTGTTCAGTACAAGGCACGGAGGCACACGCAAGGTGACGCAGGCCCATGAGCCCATGGAGGCACGCGAGGTGGCCATGCATGCATCACTGCACTGAAAGTCTAGTTGTACATTTTGATAGCAAGAGCCTGAAATGAGACCCATCATAAATGGGCTGTGCTACCTTTGAATTGCCCCTGTGCCATTCCTTTATGCCATCACTACTAAGGGTCAGGGGGCCCACTGAGGTGCTATGTTCGTGCTTGAAAAGCATGGGGACCTGATCATACTTCTGTCTGCCTTTTGTTTGCATGAACACAGCACCAGTGCGCCTGGTGCTAAGTTACGTAAACCACACCAGTCCATCCGGACCTGTTTTGACAAACCAAACTTTGCATTTCCCCAGGCCTGAAATCTACAATCCCACTGTGAGGAAAAACAATTGTGGTCCCCTCCCCTTCCCCACCGAACCTCTAGCCGGCCCTGGGGACTGTATATTTTGGCCCCAGCACTTGATGACAAGAAAAAATGAACAGTGCAGAGGCCGTTGGAGTGCTGGTTGGTTTGACAGCGTGCTTTGTCTACTATGTCTACGTTAGCATGTGAGCGACCTTTTTTGGGTGAAAAGCCAGAGGTTCATGGAAGGGATTGATACCACAAGATGTATTACAATATTGTCAGGGGCTACCCCCTTTTGACCGGGGATAGCTTTCCAGGCGCCTGGGCTGGCCTCTGGCTGCCCAGGATGCCCGACCAGTCAAGGTCCAAGCCAGGTCCGACCCCGGCGCAAAATCAAAAAAACAAAATTCGAAAATTCTGGAAAAAACATAGGTTGCAAAACAATAGCAATGTGAACTCCTATTGGTCACTCCATTGTCATATGTACACTACCTAGTACGGCACCAGGTGCAAATTGTGCGGCGGCATACTATGCAGCCTGGGTAGCTGGTTAGTTTGGATTTCTCAATTTTGGGCTTGGGTTTATGGCAGGGTAAGGATTTGGAGAGTCGTCTCTAAGGAGTTTGGAACCACTCGCGAGATCCCCTGCAGTGTTTGAGAAGAGACGAGGGCTTTTTTTCTTTGATAAAGAAAAGGGCGACTGCCTTGAGATATCATATTCAAAATTTCAAACTGACTGGTTCCTAGATGAGCAAATTCAGAGTTGTTTTACTCATCTGACTCGAGTGGGATACAAACACTCGACTCAGATGAGTAAAACGACTCGATACGGCTATAAATGACCTGGAACTTGCGAGTCGATTGGGATTCAAAGTTGAAACTGACTGTAGAGATACATACCTCTACTGAAACTCTGAATTTGGTCCCCGTTCGACAGGCAAAATCAGAGTTGTTTTACGCATCTGAGTCGAGTGGGATTCAAACCGAGGTATGTATTTCGACAGTTCAGGGGTGTACCAACTGAGCTAGGCCCCTTGGGCCAGACAACCAGATCTACTTATTTGGGAGGAAAGACAAACTTCTTTGTTGGATAGAGCTCTGGTATAGCAACAAGGAGGGGGCAGGTTCAATTCTGTAGGTCCTCGACCTCCCCTGCGCATGATCAGTTGGTGCTAGGTTGGCACCCAACGTACCGGCCCCCCAGCCTACCGTCTTCACTCGAATAGAACGCCCGGTCATTACAGCCGTATTTAATGCAAGTTTCAGTCAAGGTACAGCAATAATGATCGGGCGTTGTATTCGGGTGAAGACGGTAGTAAAGCACATACACAGATCAGTTGATGTGGTAGCTCAGTGGGTAGAGGTAGGCACTGCAAGGAGGAGGACCAGGGTTCAATTCTGGTCGGCCGTATGCATCACACGGAACGGAGATAGCTGGGTTGTAGGAAGGCACGGGCCTGGTAGACTTTGTACTAAGTTTGTAGAGGATGATCATGTAGTTGGTTACCTTAGGGCCTTGCTTTGGGGCGACAGGGCCCCAAGTGGGATGGGGAAGGGGGATCCCTATAGCAAGGGCTTTCTGGGGAGTTAGAGACCACCTTGGGTGTTGATCCCTCCCTCAGGGGGAGTGGGGATTTCTGGTGGGGTACTGACCGCCTTGGGTGTTGATCCTCCCTCAGGGGGGAACTTGCAGTAGGGGGCCTTATGGGGGGTTAGGTAGTGGTGGGATTGTCTGCTTCGCATGTTGACAAATAGACCAGAGCGGCCCTGTTGATGACAGAGATATGGGACGTTGTACCTACAGATGACTGAGACGAGAGCTGCTCTGGGTGATGACAAGGCACAAGTACGACTGGAGGGATCTAGTTGATGACCAAGGTACGAGGACTAAGGTAGAGGAGCAGATGGTGGCTGTACATCTACTGATAATAGGCTAGAACCTTAGGTTGTACTCAGAACAAAAAAGCAATACAACTACAAAAAGCAACTAGAGAGGGGTCTAGGGGGCAATTAAGGCAGGGGGCCGGATGGCTCCTGATAATAGGCTAGAACCCTAGGTTACCAGCCGGGCCGTCTGGGTGACCTTGTTTTCCCAGGCGGCCCGACCGTGAGGACCACGGAAGGTCCCAGCGGAACCAAAAAAAAAAAAAAAAAAAAAAAAAAAACCTGAAAAAAAAAAAAATGTTATGCAGAAAAATAAACTGAACAACTTTTGCCTCAGGGTGACATCGATATTCTTTACCGAATTTCAAATTAAAAATAAAATTAAAATTAAAAACTATTTTTTTATTTTTTATTTTGGGGTAACTACCGCGCAGGTCCTTGGTTCAAGCCCCATTGGCGTCATGTACCTTCCTGGGCAAGCTAGGGCCCCGCCACCTAGAGATATGCCCTTGGTCCCCCCGAGTGGCATTGAGCAGAGACTGTTGATGTTCATGGGCGGAGGGGACCGGAGGGGAGGCACAGTGACTGGCCCATCGAGGACGCTCCGTCCTGATGCACTCCCTTGGCCGCAGAAACGGTCCCCTGAAAGAAGAGGGGTGGAAATCTCAGACTTTTAGCATTCCCAGGTTGACCCTGGGTAGGAGACCCCCTGGGAGAGTCGCCCGGCTGGGCCTGCCCGGTCAGGCATCCTAGGTAACCCAGTTTTTAACACAAAAAGAAGAAAGAAAGAAAGAACGAAAAAACATACCAGGCCCATTGCTGTGGGCTTGAACTGCAGCAGTATGTCGGCAATTGTGCTGAAGACCATCATGTCCTTGGACACAGAGCGGGAGACTAGACTTTTCCCTGATCTGAGAAAAGTCTTACATCTCCTCCAATCAAGGACAAGGCCATTTGCAGCCGCGTCGCCTGCTACAGCCTGCGCAAGCAGATGATCCCCACTTTGGAGACACATAGGATCACCACCATCTGAAATGAAAGCCAGACAGACAAACAGACAGACAGATATGAGCCGGCCAGAGAAAGGTGCAACAACAAAGACATCAGGCACCAGTGAGAAAATCTCATACCGCACAGTCTCTTTAGACTCTAGACCTCTTCACGTTGAGAAAAGCAGAATGGTGGAAGAAGAATGCAGGCGTCCTCGTCATCCATTGATCTGAAATGCAGACCTCTTCTGCATCCATCCATCCATCTAAACGAAAAAGAAACAAACAAAAAAAAAAAGACACCATGATGTGGAGGAGGAACATCGAGGATGATGATGATGATAATGATGGGTTGGGTTGGGTGAGTGCATAGTACCGATAGCCAAATGCCCCTCTTTTTCTTTGTTTTTCAAACGAAAACCCTCGAGCCCCAGGGCTGCTATCCGGGGGCTAGGTCCCACTTGCACGAATTAAGAGATTCTGGCCGTTGATCTTTGCTATCTACGGTCAATACCGCTTAATTCTTGCAAGTGGGACCTAGCCCCGGGGTGGTAGGACTCCGTAGGAGCACTCCCAGCTATCAGCCCCATCGTGAGGGCGGCTTCTCTCTGTTGGTCTGGAAGAAACGCATCATCATGTCGTGGGCCAGTTGCCGTTTGAACGGAATGGCCCTTCTCATCCGCCTTGACGGTCTGAGCAGCACTTCTGCAGAGACACCCGTGATTGAAGTAAGACCGTTTGGCTGCTGACTGATGGCGCCAAAGCCAAAATTTTCCCACGCATATCTTCCCATCGCGCCTTAACTGCTGGTTAAAAAAAAACAAAAACAAAAAATCCATTCTGAGTCTTCGCCACGAAATGCTGCTGGCGGTTGTCGGCTTCGTTAATAGGACGGCTTGGATTGCATCATCACCCCCGCGCCATCTGCCTTGCTGACACGTGTAAACACGTGGACGACCGTTTTGTGGCCGGGATCCGGACACATCTTCTGTCATGCGGACAAAGCGTTATCTCGGTGATGATGCACCGGACCTGTGTTCTTTCATGCGGACACACACACACACACACACACACACACACACACACACACACACACACACACACCAGGCCGTAACAGTGTGACGAGTTCCCGCTTGGCGGCCGGACGAAACGCAGCGTAGGGTTGCCAAGCCACCTGATCTTTTTTTTTTTTTTTTTTTCCATAAAGATAACGAAAATGATTACAGGAAAAAAAAAAAAAAAATGCTAACACCACACCTTCTCCGCATGTATCGGACGGCAAACATGGCCTTGATACTCACTGTATAAGGGAAGAAAGAGCAGCAGAGCAACGACCGGACTTACCTCGAAAGCCTACAGGTTGTTCCCCCGAGGATAGGCTGCAAGACGACAAGAGGCATCGCCGCTGGCCCGAAGGTCTCACCGCCTGCCCATGTGGCAGTGTCTTTCCACCTCCTCTTTCCTTAGCTACTAATCCTCCAAGCACCTGCCTGCCGGTACGGATATCATGCCGGTGAGGTGGTCGGTGGCACCTTTCTTCCTGCTGACGTGGGCGACACGTGTGCCCCCGTGACAGTGGAGCTTGGCAGAAGCCGTAGCCCCCATCACATATGCTGCTGTTGCAAGGGGATAGCGACATGCCATCAATGCAAGGGGAGAGAGGCACCTAAAGTAGCTATCACGAACGCACTAAGCGTGTGTGTGTGTGTGTGTGTGTAGAGAGAGAGAGAGAGAGAGAGAGAGAGAGAGAGATTGGGTATGGGTACGCTAAACACGCGCGCGCGCGCGGATTCGTGCATTCGACGGGCCGAAACGAGTACTTGGCGCGCGCGCGCCTGGGGCTGTGTGCGTGCGCGAGGGAGGTAGATGACGATCAGCCAACGGGAATGGTAAACAAGGTCGTCCGAGACAGACGTTAAAACTGGAACGATCTGAGAAGAAAGGCAAAAAAGCATGGCCCCTGCGCAAGGATGACACGAAGGTAGCCTCTCACTTCATTGTGTTAATAATCTGATTCTATGAATTCGAATTCATATTTCGTTCACGAACAGTTACGTGTGTACCATTCAGCCACGTGGGCTGGGTGCCCATTCAGACACACAAAATGGGCGTCGCTGCACTACTCACGACATGCACAAACGACAAAAATTATGGCGGTGTATCTTTCCATGTTCTAGCGGAAGATTCACTTTCATTTTGTACGTTTCTTTCCTTTTCTTTTTTTGCCTCATTTTGAGAGTAGTGGAGCGAAGTCCCACTGTTTAGCATGGCCCCTTCGGGACATCCGTTAAAACTGGAACGATACAGAGAAGATTAGCATGGCCCCTGACACGCATAAATCGAGAAATGGTCCAAATTACAAAAAAAAAAAAAAAAAAAAAAAAGAAGTCCCACTGTTACCCGATTGGGGTGGGGGAAGATGAAAAGGGAGGCACAGTTACTCGCAAATGCTCGGTCCTTGTGTTAGCCGGGGCCCCACCGGCGGCCCCAACCCTGCACCCTAAACGCTAGGGCAAAGGGGCAAACATGCCTTTACCTATCTCCACCGAGAGGTGTAACCTCCTTTCACCGAAGAGAGGTAAAAAGCTATGCTTGCAGGGGTCCCCTGTATACCCTAGGGAGTAGTGGTAGGTAGGTAATGAAAGGAAGAAATGTTCCATGACATGGCAGAATGCCAGTTAAAAATATGTGAGGTGAGAGAAAAATATGTGGATGTCCCCCAATGAGGAGAAGGCAGCTTCAAAAAAAAAAAAAAAAAAAACCATCAGAGACACAGAATATAGGTGAGTGGCTCCACGCCCACTTCGGCGAGCAGAGATCCCTCTGTCCTTTTCAAAACAAGATGTCTGCCCGCCACGAGTGCGGCGAGGACCAAGAGTAGGGGGGGAAAAAAAAAATTGCAATTCTGCACCAATGCCCTCTCTCTCTCTCTCTCTCTCTCTCTCTCTCTC